CACACGCGCGGCATGAGTTTAAGCCACCGGGTCCGGTACTTGAACCGCGGTCGACTACGGCAACATAGCCATTACCCTAACTGCTGGCCCCCTCTCCTCCTTTTTATAAGCTAACACAGTCATGCCGATTATGCTCTAAATGAGAAGGAACCATACATTCATATTTATCAAGATAATGGGAGTCCCCTAAAACAGGATGAAGTTTGATTCAACATTTACTTAGTTTCTGTCCACTAGATGACCATGGCTTTAATTTTATGAAGCCTAGTGAGGGTTGCAAACCAACAGGCAATTATAACAGAGTGAGGAAAATGTAGGACAAGGGGATGCAAAGTGCTCTGGGACTTTGCATCCGGACTTGGGAGAGCGGAGAAAGTCTCCAGAAGTAGTTAGCTGAGTTCAAGGAGTCATCTAAATAGTCGATCCAAGTGAGAGTCAGCTTCTCCATGTAGATGTGAGGAGCAGTTATCTTACCAATGCAGTCATGTGAGCCACACGTTGGCCACAGTTCATCCAAACTCTAGGTTCTATATCAATCTTCATTCATTTTATTTCTAAATATATTCCACTTTCTTCTGTCTGATTTCATTATCTATACCAGTTTCCCAGCTATAAAACATTTCCATTCAGCCCAGGAAATCATTCTAAAGAGCCTATCTGGAGAAAGTGAGAAACACTGAACGCAGGAAAGGGAGGCACAAGGACAGCATGACCACAGAAGTAGACACCTGAGAAAAGCCCATGGCCAGTCACTGACCCTCCACTCCCCACCAACCTTGCAGAGGTGACCTAGTGCTAACAATCCTGCTCATGAAGTAAAGACCCTCACTCTGAACTTATCTTAGGCTTGACACATTTTTTTGAAATCTGAGTTTCATATCTGAAAATAGTTCATGCCACCAAAGCCAAAGCCCCTTCCCTAAGGGTTGGGTCCCTAACCTCTGTCTCCTTGAGTAGTCTTCCTAAAATGGTACATTTCCTGATTCCAAGAATACTGGTATTTTCATAACTCATTTCTACATATCATTGTCAATGTACAGACACAAGGCTGGGCTCAAACACAATTTTGACCATTTGCTCTTCCAAATCATTAGACATTCAAGCTACATAAATGGTTAGATAAAATTATATTTTTTTATTTTTAGTTGCCAAAAGATGCATATACTCAGCAGAAAGAGAGAGAGAGAAAACACAAACACCAATGGAACACGGTCATGCCACAATCCTTTTTCCTCCATTTCTCCGTCCCATCAGGAAATTAGGCGTACACATACACACACCCAAGATGCCAAGGCCAGGGGCCCAGCAGGCGGCATGGTGATTAAGGTGCTAGACTCCCACATAATCAAGCGTGGTTAGAGTTCTGGACCCGGTAGCTTGAAAATCACTCCAGGAACATGTGTACACGTGCCTCAACTCCCAAGACGAGAAGAGATTGTAGTAGGCCATCTCCTAGGGAGTGATTTCTCACTTTCCTTCTCACTGCCCCGCTCCTCTCCAGTAAGCACATGCACCCTATGGCAAAAACCTTAAAAAATAAAAAATAAAAAAGATGCCAGGGCCAGGATTCAAACCACAGTCAGTCATGTGGGATCTGTATCCCTATGTGTATATAGTCCTGACTCAGTTGGAATTACTTTTCAATGTTTTTTCCAATCCTGAGATTTTATGATTCTGTGACATAACTGGAGCCATTTTTCATTACAAATTAAAGGTGGTAAAATTATCCCAGCCTGAGATGCTATGATTAAGGAAAAATAGCTTAGGATTTCAATAATGTTTGGTTTTGCAAAGTTGCCAAGATAACCTCACTGTCAGTGGGCTAGGCTGTGGCTGCCGTACACGAGGAAATCGGGTCTGGGCCACACTTGGTTGTATGTTTTACAACCAAAGACAGAGGGTTTTACTTCAAAAGCACAGCTGAAGACAAAATTTAAGAAACAAACCAAAAAAGAATGACCTAAATGTTTTGTAGTATATGAGACTTCACATCTGAGGATGTATAATTATTTTGTTATACTTCCCAAAGTTGAATCTTAATTATGTTTGAAGATCTGAGTACTAGAAAATACAAAAACTGTACTCTGCACTTTAGGCATTCTGAAGGAGCATGACAGACATGTAAGAAGGCTCTGCTTACCCGCGTGTGCTACATGACATCATACGTATCTTAGGGGCACTACGCAGTCCGTATCCAAAATGAAGAGCTGATCAACAAGATGAACCTCTTCACAACAAATATCTTAATGTGATGCCCAAGTCATCACTCAAAACATAAGTAAGAAAAGAAAGCCAGACTCTCAGGTCCTGTACCAGGTGCCAAGAAAAGGCCACAGTAAGCATCCTTGGTCTTAGGAGCCAAGGTTCTCTTCCACTACCATGGAAACAGTCTTAGGATTTCAGGAAGTTCTTGACAGCAAAGAGTTACCATCTAGACTTGAGTCTGGCCTATAGCGTTTCCTAGCTGTGTGACCCTGGCAAGCAACTTAAACCCTCTGGGCATTGGATTCCTCATGTGGAAATGAAGAGATGATCATAATACCACCATCTCGTAGGGTTTCTGTCATCCTTCAATAATTCCCGTACGTCACTTCTATTTCTAGTTAACTCTAACTCTGGTTACTTTGAAGACTTCTGAAGGGTTACTGGAATGTAGGAAAACAAATGGGGGAAGCCACTCAGTCCTAAAGGGAAAGGTTTTGAAATTGCTATGGCTCAATTGGTTGAGTCACATTTAATTAACTCTGGAATTTTCAAGGACAAAAACAGAGCTTTCCAACAGGATACCTAACACAAGAAAACGAGCAGAACCAGAGCTGGAGAGTCCCTAAGAACTTGCTTTTGAGGAATAGGGTGGTGACAGGAAATCACACTTGGTTGAAATGGGGGTGGAGGGTTGAGATTACCCCATCAACTAGAACCAATCTTTTCACATTATCTTCCTTCTCAATGTTTCACATCTACTGTTAAATCCAAGTTCACCAACTCTAAACTCTGTAAAAGTTCGAGAACACTGGGAGAGAGGGGAGAGAAAAATAGTAGAATCCAGTGAACAGAATAGTGAGAATTACTATGATAAATAACTGTGAACCTCTAAATAAATGACAGTTCATTGTTGGAGGCCCACGAAGTGAACCCCTCCAGTTCTCCAAATGATGTTTCATTTGGCTAAAACTCAAACTGTCACCCAAACAACATCAGTCTTGTTAGAATGAAAGGAACAACCCAACTCTAGAAAATGTAATGGGCCTTTCCAGGTGACTGGTTCAGAACCTGTGAATCATTCTGAAATAGCCAGACAGGCCAAACCACACCAGCACCGCAGTTAAATAGATGTATATATACAACCAGTAAACGTGATGACCTGTCAGAGCTCTAGTTCTGCTTTCCTTATCAGATCCCTGGTGATGCACATAATTAACCCTGAAGTCATACTCTGAACGAGGTACCTCCTGCAGAAGTCCACCTCTAGTTTCCACTGGGAAGGCTCCTACCTTTCCAGACCACACCTGCAGATGTCACTAACAGTTTGCTGCAGTCCAGAGTGCTACTCTAGGCCGCCATGCAATAGCCGGAAAGGCCTGAGCTGCAGCGGCTGGGGAAGCCCGAAGCCACGAAGGCCTGTGTCAGCAGACCCACAGCGGAGGAAGTGATCGCTGGTGCTGTCCTGCCTTAACCTCCGGGAGCTCCAAGCCACTAGTCTTTCTATTTAATTTTTAAGATTTATTTATGTATTTCCACCATGAGCAAGAAAGACAGAGACAGAGAGACAGCACCCCCGATAGTACTGATCCACCTCCAGCCTCAGTCAGACCCAGACCATGGGCATGCACATGCATGGCATACTCCGGATATGAACCCAGCACCTTCCCATGTGGGTCAGCCTCACAGAGCATTGTGTTTTCCCCCATACCACAAGCAGCACCACCCCTTCAATCCCCAGGCTCCACTCCCCATTTTATCAGAAGGCCCTGGGCAGTTTTATTTCCTGTTGTCTTTCACAATCTACCTCTGAATGCCACTCAAAACATCCTGGATTTTCTGCAACTCAAAGCTAATAAAGATGGGATGCAAGTGCAAAATCGTCATTGCTCTGAAGTTGTCACCTGGAAAGCCTGCGTAGAGCTAGAATAAGGCTTGCTGACCTCCACTCAGAATAAGGTCCCTGCCCTCCACTCAGCCTACCCCATTCGCTTTCTAAAGGCTTTCTGCATCACCTCTCACTGCTCTCTCTGACAACTGCTTCTCTCTCCAGATCAAGAATTCCTTCGTTCTTCCACGTGTTCACGTCTACCTGTCACTGAGCTTTCCCTTCCTCACCTTCCCTTCACTTGGGATGCGCTGAAGGATCCACTAGGCAATAACTAAGAACTCACATGACCCCAGAAACATTTCAGAACCTTGGTGGGAAGAATCTTGCTTGTGGCAGCAGCGTTTTCCCTGAGGCCCAGCGCCCCACACTCCACACTTGGCATCCAGGCAATGAGCATGCATTTGCCTCCCACTAGGCTATTAAGGGACGTCACAGTGGGAAATCTGCCACTTCTCAGAGGAAGCGGACTTGGAATGGTCTGTCCCCTGAGCATTCTGGGCACCTGTAGAGGCCCAGGAGCAGGGGAGAGGCTGTCAGAATCAGTAGGTGGAGGGCAAGGAGGGAACAGGGTGCCAGCTGGGCAGAGTTGCTCATGCCGCTTGTCTAACGGAGTGAACTCTCTGGTCCTGTGTGTTATTTTCTGCCAGTCCACCCCAGATCTATTTGTCCAATGCCTCAACATGTTTCTAAGAGGTTCTGAATTACTAACAAACTCCAGGAAGATGCTTTGGGAAACGTTAAATACAAACACAGACCTATACAGCTAGGACAAATACTCGGTCATTAGTAGTTTCCTTTTTAAGGCCATGGGTGGGGGGAAGAGGCTGCCTCTGCTAAATAATAATGATATTCACAGGACGACAGACACTGCAATTCCAAAGTCCACACTCTCTGCAGCTTTACTCACCCCTAGCCATCTTGCTCCTTTATTGGCAGCCTGTTGAATCTGGACTCTTTTGAGGGTGACATGGTAAACAGCTCCTTCCTCTACCTCTTCACCCCAGTCCTGAATCGAGCTCTGCCAGGGATGGGATAAAGAGAAAGAAAAAGAGTATTTTTTTTTTTCCTCTCTGCTAACCACAATCTATCCCAGCTGCTCTGCTGCTTACAACAGCACTCGGGCAGGAGATGGGCTGCTCGGAATAAACATGGATCAGACCAACACAAGACACACTGCCATCCGGGCACGCTGAGATTCTCTTGGCCAGCAGCCCTTTCCGTGGTATCAGGATCCCCGGACTTGTCCATCTAGTTATTTTTTCCTAGACTCGCTTTCATATCTTAGTTTTTTAAAAAATCGTTTTTCTTCATAAAGAAACTGCAAATTTAGTCCTGATTAACTGTTCCCCCTTAAGTGAAAGGAAAAAATAACTCTTTTGTAGGAAAAGTCTGCACTGTCATAAGAAGCTTAGTCGTTTCAACAAACTAAGTTTTAAAACTCAGGCACAAACAAGTGTTTAAAATGCTAACAGTCTTCATTCCTTTGGAAGTGAAATGGCTCACAAGTCTTCTCTTATTGTTTGGAACCCAAAAAGTTAGCGTGGGTGGAAAAGTTTTTATTTCCGTAAAACAATCTGGCAAGTGCAGAAAAAGCGACACATCGCCAGGCAGCTTCAACTGAAATCTGTGCAGCGACCCCCTGGATCCACGTCCCCAGCTCAACTTTAGTGTGAAAGGGCCGCTGGGACAGAAGCGCTCCGCCGCGCACCCAGACTAACAGTACTTTTCCTCCAAAGTTCTCTCCTGATGGACAACTGCCCCAGACACACACCACAGGCATCGCGGAGAAAGCAGGGAGCGCTTAAAGGGAGAAGCCACGCAGAGAGGGGGACTACAAAGCAGAGTGAGGAAGCTTTAGCTCACAAGTATGGAATCGGATTGCTCCGTTCACTCCGAGGGAATCCAAAACACGCCCAGAGAAAGCGGGAGAAGATTCCCCACCAGAGAAGGCTCGGGAGAAGGCAGAGCTCTCGTTACCATTTTAGCTTGCCAAAGCAATTTCATTCTCAGTTTTCTCTCCGGTACGCGGACGCTGCATGATGCGTCCTGCTCCGAGGCCAGCGCCGAGTGTGCGCG